AGCTAAACCTCATTATTTTCATGACTTGACCACACAGATAAATGTGTCTATATGCTAACATGAGACATGACATGCACAGCTCTTACTAGACTTTGGGTAGCATATGGTACTCAGTCCAATGCTAGGAGCATGGTAAGTACTCATGAAACAAGTACTGATGGTTAGAATCCAGTGAGTCATGCTAAGATGTGATGTTGTTTTAAGAGGTTTGTAGTTTTTTTTTTTTTTGGTTTTGTTTTTATTTTATTTTGTTTTGCTTTAAAGTAAATGACTTTTTCTAAAGGCTGATGCTCCAGCAAATAGTCATGAACCAGCCTTTTTTAACTGAATGATTGTCTTGCCATAGATCATCTTTTTGAGGGCTTGACAAAATTGTGAATCAATGATATCAACATAAGCAGAAAGAAAACCACTTAAACATCCCATCTGATGAGTTTTCAGCACTGTAATGTCTGTGCTCACCACTGAGTAAGCATTGTAGTGCTTTCCCAATGTAGTAAGGTCACACACCATCTGTTAGAGACTAGCAAAATATATCGGGACTTACAGTCAGATTTGTTTTCATTTTATACTTTAATGACATTCTTATTTATATGTTGTTTATTATATGTAAAAATATATTATTCAGTTTTATATTCATATAATTTAAGCGTGCACATATTGCTTGTGTATACAAATATTTTATGGATAAGATTGCTCATTCTAAATATTTGCAAACTATTGAGCTATATATAGCATGAGGTAGACAAAGCCCATGTCAAAAATTTAATTTCCTGTATCACTATGTTGCATATTAATAATTTGATTTTATAAACTTGAATCCACTTAGGAGGTAGAGAAAGCATTGCAGATTCAGTTCTACTATAATGTGAGCATGTTCCATGGCCTCTCATTGAAGCTGAGCCTGCAGCTCCATTTCCTATATGAAGAGATCTGGCTGGCTTTGCACTATTTACTATGTCTTCCCTACAACCCCTTCTTGGAAACACAAGAAAACATAGAAGACAATCCGGTCTTTGGGAGTAAATGGACATATATGCACCTTTTGTCCCAGACAGGACTTTTCTTGTGTGGGCCAACCAGACTAGCTGTCCTGTGAGCTTCCGGGGATCTATCTGCCTGTCTTCATTTCCCCCCTCATTGTTGCTGGATTTGCAGACTCATGAGCACATATCACTGAGCCCAGCTTTTGTCATGAGTTTTGGGACTGGAGCTCAAGTCTTTATTCTTCCAACACAAGTGCTTCACTGACTAAGCCATCACCCCAGCCCTTGAGGCACTTCTTAATGTTATATTTCTAATGAGAAGAGAAATTGTCATTTGGAAGATTTTCAATTACAAAGGCTAAGACCTTTTCCCCCAAGGCAGAATCCTAGTTTCAGCAGCTGGAAGTGATCTCAAGTGAGTCATTGAAACTCTTTGAACCTAGAGCCTTTATTTTTGAAAAGAAAATGAGGACACTAAATGCTTTCAGTTGCCTATGAGGTTCCACTTAGAGACTTTCTGTATTCTGTGGAAAAAATGCTAATGATTGAGAGGTTATCTGATATCCTAAAACAGTAACTCTTACATTCTCAAAACTCATTTGGTACCTTCCTCCACATCTGATGGATAGCCAAAGCCTCAGGTGATATCCATGTCTGTTTTATTAAAAAAAATCAAAATAAGCAAACAAAAAAACTAATATGAATAATAGAACTGGCTTGCAAATGCTATGAGCAATGGGGAAATCTTCATTTGAAAATGTATCCCACAAGAAGAAGAGATGGTAAGTGTCAAAGACAGAGTTTCTATCCTGTGTTGATTACGGGTATATCTAAAACACACCAGAAGGAATACAAACATATGACCTACATATAAAATATTCTACATTATACCCATTATTTAACTAAGAAAAATTACAACTTATAATTTAAATAATGATATAATGTTCCATGGTTATCTTTATTTCAAATATATGATGTACTAATATTACTGATTATATAGTAAACTAAAAAGGTACTTATTTCAAAGTGAATATAGAGTAAATGACTTAAATATTTGCCCATATGCTGCTAAGTGTGTTGTTGTGACTTGGGAATATGAAATAAAGCATACTAGTAAATTAACCAGTGTAATAGGATGTGGGCTGAGACAGTTCTGGATGTCTTAGAACTCTTCACTGCAGTATTGAAGCTGCAAAAAATGAAAAGCACATCCTACTGACTACCAAGCTCTATGTTGATATTCACAGGATTTTCTAGTGAAACAAACTGGTCCTGTCAGCATTATCACAACAGCCAATGCTTTTGAGACAGAGACTTCCTGTAAGTACAGAACTGGATTGTCTTCAGCTCTACCCTTTCCTCAACTAAACTGCAAGTCAAAGAGGATTGTCCTTGCACTGTTTATGAAATTATTGTTTCTTAGTAAATTCACACTTCCATGCTCTCTGTTTTTCTACAGGAGAAGCTAGTACTGCACCCGTTTAATTTCCTTTGCCTACTGGAAAATGTAAAGGCAAGAGGAGGGGCTCACTGCATCCTCAGGGCTCAGTTATCCCTGTTCATAGAATCCCTTGACTGACTGGGTTCTCATCTGTAGCTTCTTTGGGTTCTCGAAAATTTGTCTCAAAGTAAGTCCTCTGAGGCAGCTCCTTTCTTAGCACAGGGGATCTTGCTCTGAGATCCCTAAGCTCCATGCCCCCCATTCGTGTGTGTGTGTGTGTGTGTGTGTGTGTGTGTGTGTGTGTGGTTGTGTGGGGTGGATGGGTGGGTGTATGCTCACATGCCAGTGCTCATGAATACATGTGTGTACACGAATAGTCCTGTCCACATTATTTTTTGAGATGGGG